CTTGTCGATGCTCGTCGCATATTCCATATAGTCAGAGTCCGCAACTAGGTAGCAAAAAATTAAAAGCATGCAACATGATTCATGATACAAGCGATTTGGTCTGGAGACCTAGAGTCTGGGGCTTGATGCTTGCCTTTAAGATCACTGTATTTCACTGTACTTCATGCTTGGTCCTCAGTACTCAGCAATTCAGTACTGCGCCTGGATGGGCTCTCCATCCAGCAATTGGATCACGGATCGTGCAGGCATGGCCTGGGTCGGCTCGGCCCGGGTGCCCCCGACTCGACCGCACCTCTGGCACCGTGGGAACGAACTTCGACGAGGAGTTCGTTCCATGTTCTGTTCCACACTAGCTCGAGCTATTGGGAAACAGGTGGGATGGATGTGATACGGGGATGGCGGTGTTTTTGCTTTCTGCTTGGAAGGAGGACATGGAAAAAAGAACATGATGTGGTGGTGTTACATCGAAAGCGGACAGATCCTTGCGCCTTGCGCATGGAACAACACCTCTTGCACCGTTGCGTGTCTTGAATAACTTGAGAAACTACTCAACAACGTTGTTTCATGTTATTTCTCTTGTCATCTCTTGTCTGAAATGCTGTTTCTGCGATTTTGCCGGATGGCCCGTATCTCGGGAGGCAAATGCCGCAAGGCGGAAGCGACCAAATAGTCAACCTGACGGAGCTCTGACAGCTTTGACTCCGTGGTCTCTATAACCCCGCACATGGCAGGGAAGCGGACGTCGTTTAGGTCGTTTCCCCCATTCGAAGAGGACGCTTTTTTGGTCTCTTTGGGACTGAGTCCATCCATCAGACTGGAATAGTTGCTTACATTGGGCTCATTCTCATTTTCATGGGGTCCAGCCCCTTGGATGGTCTGGGTGAGTTCATCAGCAAAGCCCGTGGCAGAAAAATCGAAGATAAAAACAAACCCCCTGCCTCCTCACAAGCCTCTTGCGCCCGCACTTCGATCTCTTCTTTCTCAGCGACAGGAAGGGGGTGCAGAAAACATTGAAATGGTGAAACAGGTTCCACTGGAAAAATCCACTGTTGAGTTGCTTCAATCTTAGTTTCCAACGGTGAGATACGTGTTTGACGAGCAAAATCGAGCAAAGCTTTTTTCAGGTGATTGAGGGACAAATAAATAAATAAGGAGACACGGAGGCGCAATCAAACTAGACCTAGATATTCTTGGGCCCACCCGAAAAGAAATCTCAGATTCAAAGGCAGATGTGCGTGCTGGGTCTGCGGCAATTTTTGCTCGTGCCTCTTCTGCGATGACCTTCCGACAACAGCTCAGCATCTGCTAGCCTGTAGAACATTCCACAAATGGGTCTTCTCTTGGAAACCCATTGAAACAATATGAACCGATACACCCAAACTCCTTGTGTTCCAGCACATCCGCAGGTTCTGGAGCACATCCACCTCTCTCTGCTCGGCGGCCTCGCCTCCAAGATCCTCTCTTCCCACACATTCACGACCTGAAGCCGCTTACAAACGGAACGGGCGCGGGCGCTTGACCTGGTGACTCCGGCAAGGGAGAGCTGGCCAAACGAAGAAGTGACCAGCTGCCTTGCCCTGACCCTCTGTGGCACTGGAATAGTTACATGAGTTACAGACCCTAATGAATTATATTTCATACACGCATAAGAAAGGCATAAAAAAGGTGGCTACAAAGGGGTTGAGACAAGAAGGAGCGATCCTCCAACCAATGCTTCCTTCGACTGTATGTCTTCCAGTTGTCCTCCAACCGTAGCCTGTGTGGGAAATCTGACACGAAGCACCCATGGTGATCCACACGTCTATGTCAGGTTGCCTGAGGGATATGTACTGAGTGGTCTTGCAAACAGGTCTCGCAAACAAGGGCCACATGCCCACACCGGCCCACACACCAAACAATTCCACACATCCTTCTCGCCAACCAGGCCTTTTCGCCCTCCATCGCCATCCAATTGGCCAGACGGGAGGCGCTTTACGGTTTGGCGCTTGCTGTGGTTCCGCTCAAGCTGTGGTTGGTCGCTTTCTGTCTCCGGCGTTGGTCGATGTTTCTTCGAGGTTGGTGAAGCCTTGCTGCCTCGCACCGTCCATCCATGTTGGGGATACGGGAACGACGTTTCAAGTCGTTTGATGATATTTTGACCTCACCTTTCATGATCATGAAAAACCCAAGTCCGCCTGCTCTAAGCCAAAAGCACATCAATGTGCAGTTGACTTGAGGTGCTCAACGCTCTAGATTTCCGTGTGCCGAATGGCAATTAAGATAATTATGCCGGAACCGCTGGAACTCCATGAATCCATCTTTTCCGATCTCTAATCGCCACTCATTGACCTGGCAGGTCTCCTGGCATGCAACGGTCTGACCAGCTCGCCTGCTTCCCGCCCATCCCATCCTTTTTCCAACTCGTTCTTCGAACCTCCAACCGGTCGCCCACCGCTCCTTTGGAGCGATCGGACGGTACCCGGACGGCCGTGATTGGCCTCGACCTGCTGGTGTCGGTGTGGACGAAGGATGGACGCAGCGATAGAGATAAAGAGACATAAAGAGACGCACTCCCTGGAACGAACATGGAAGTGGATAAGAAGGATTTAAATGTGTATTTACAGTGTATTTGTAATATTTGTAGAGGACAAGAGTCTTCCTAAGGGCCTTTGTCCACTTCCATGTCAGTTCCAGAGAGTGTAGATGACTATGATGACTGTTGTATATAATTACCAGCATGATCTTGCCTCGGCACGATCTCTGTTCTTCTTTGGGCTCTTGCTCTTGGATTTCTTCTTCTTGCTCCAGCCACTATGGCGCAAGAGCTCTGTAGGCATGTATCTCCTTGCAGACAGGTCGGTGTGATGTTGTTCCAGCCAAGGCTTGGGGGAACTAGTTTTCTCGACTTGCTCTGGCCAAGCTGAGAGTGGCTTAAGTTGGGCCGCCAGTGACTCAGGCACATCATCTTTTGGAATTCCACTCTTCGCCAGCTGGGTAGTTTCTCGAGTTTTCCCATCACTGGGCTTTCCTTCGTCTAGTCCAAGGAGACCTCTTTCCTGTATCTTCCTTGAACTCGACGGACTTGACGACGCACTGCCCTGCTCTTTCTTCGCCTCATCGTCCGGACGGGACATGAGGCTCTGAAGCGGACCCATGGCTGGAGCTCGGATCTGACGCTGTTTGGGGCTCTCAAGTCTCTGGCCTCCAACATCTTCCTGCTCTCCCAAGCACCTGCGCAACGGTCGCAGCGTCCGGGCTGGGGTGACCGGCTCAGCCGGCGAGCCCGCCGGGTACCGGGAGGTCCGGCTCAGCTGAAGCTCGGGAGGTGCTGGGAGTGTGGGAATGGGACTTAGACAAGACTTCACATGAAGACAGCTGGATCTCTCCATGATGGTGAGAAATGCGGTCGGGGTCTGAGCCGCTTCAGCGGCTGAAGCCGGCAGAGCTTGCACTTGCACACGGAAGCTGATGATCCCTCTGTTGATATCCACCACACTCTTGAGGGACACCACTTCAAGACCAGAGACTGACACCTTCCAGCGACTGGTGTCAGGTCCAACCCCATCGAAGCTTGGCCCTGTGACCTCCGTGGCTTCCACCGAGCTGGGGCACCGCAGAATGGATACAGAACTGCGAAGCTGAAGCTGACAAAGTACCCACCAAGCCCTGCTCCCTCTTGCTCTCGATTCCCCAACTTCCTCCGCTTCGGTGTGCCCGGTGCTCTCGATCCGCAATTCGCAGAAGGAAGCCTCGGCCTCGTGCCATTTGGGATGCACGCAAAGACGGGCAGCTTTGGCAAAGACTCGTGTGTTTCGCTTCGTCCCCAACGATGCTCGCCCTCGTTCGGGTGATCCGTCCACCCAGCGAGCATGAAAGTCGAGCTGGCCAGTCCATCGTGCAGTCCACGTGCAAGAAGAAACATCCGAGTCCGAGTCTTTTTGCAGATTGAGTTGTGATTCTTGACCTGAAGTCCCGCCATCCGCTGCACTTGAAAGGGATAAGGTAAAACTTCCAGTGTTAAGCTCTCGTGGTGTTGGAGTCAATGATACCACAAGCTCTGCTCCCACTTGGCAGTGCCACATCTTTGTCACCGAGCACCAAGTGATTGGACTTGGCGAAAGTTTTCGAGACGTTCTAAAGTTTAAGTGAACTTCTTCAGGAAAACCTTCTTCAACGTAGCAGTTCCTTATGGTGGTAGCCCAAGCATTGAAACGGCTTTCGTCCGGAATGACGAAGCCAGGCCTCACACCTTTCAAGGGTCTAGGCAATGGATCTTTCGCTCCAGCGCGGGTGGCACTGCCAGTCTGGTGGCCAATTCCAAGACTCCTCTCTTGCGAGAGGTTTCCAGAGCCGGAATGCACTGGAGAACCTGTGGTGCGCATGTCCATGGCAAAAGAGTGGCATGGCAACAAGGAAGAGATATATATATATATAATATTGTCGCTGTTTGTCATGCTGCTGAGAGGTTTGGGTATGTGCATAGGACATGTTACAGGTTGGATGACACTTTGACACTGAGTAGGCAGCTCAAGTACAGCACTTTGAGAAAACTGCAGGATTCATGGATCATGGACCACAGGCTGCAAGTGAATCTGGTCCCAATCATCTTCGACGCTTGACCATGCAGGCCACCCTGCCGCATCCTGCCGCCAACTCCAGCTCATGAGGGGGTTGCCCCATGGAAAAACCATAGCGGCGAGTCGTGGCGTCCAAAAGGCAAAAGGAAAAAAACACAGCGAGGCGAGTCCTGTGCACCATCTTCATGCTTCGAATTGGAGTCAAAGGGGTCGTCTGTCGTGGGTCGTCCAGTTCGGGCCAAACCCGTTTTCTGTCCTTGAGTGGGATTCTCCGACGTAGAATCGGCAGAAACAGCCTAGGGTGATAAATATCGAAATTGATGAATTGATCTGACCCTAGGCCTCCAAGTACCTTCTGAGAAGGTGTTTGGGGTGGGTTTGGAGGGTCCAAAGACCTTCTGAGCAGGTACTTGGAGGTGTAGGGTGATAGGGTTAAAAGTATATCGGAAAAAAAAAAAACCGAACCGACGCCAGTCCAGCTGCTGGGAAGAAGCGACCAGGCATTTGGACAAAGCATACCTTGGGATCCTTGGGGTGATCCTGGAAGGTTACATTTTTGCTATTTGGCTGAACGGCCGTTCCAGCCACACTGCACAAGTGAAACGTGTCTTCAACAAACACCTGGGCCATGGGCCATCAGCTCGATTTCGCATCATTCAAGCCAAGATGAACCGCCACAGCATGAAATGGACCATGGACCATGGATGTGGATCAGGAACACTCTGAAAACCTGGCAAAAAGAAAGAACCAGGTGAACCCCAATACTGTAGTGTGCCAAAGGGATATTAGCTACCACACGTTTCTCTCTTGGTTTCACATGAGCAACCAAGACTCAAGACCAGCGTCTTTTTCGCAACTCCTGGTCAAACCGGTGGGCATGGTGGCGTTTCCTCGGTTTCTCCACATGAACAAGGAGCGACTGGGAAGGAGACTGGGACCCTCACTAAGTCCAACTCCATCGTCAGCGCAGGTGGGACCTGGGAGAAACGCAAAGGATCGCAGCTCAGTGCCACGTCTCAGTGCACCTTCTGCAGACTCCAGGCTAGGCGCTTAGGTTTGTGTGTGTACTGATCTGTGCAAATTGACATGCAGGGCGCCTCAGCAAGCTTTGGCTGCGTCCTCCAAGGACAGGGACATCAAAACACATGTTCAAACCAAGCAAAAGGCTCAGGCTCACCTGACACAACGCGTTTATAAGCACCACCCAGTTCGGGTGGTTGTTAGATGGAAAATACAGATACTGTACATGGATTTGGAGGTCTATATATAAACGCGCCGGTCGTCCATGGTTTCCAGAATGTCATTTCGTCCGTTCCCGTCCTCTCCAACCTTCTCGTTCTGAGTGCGCGAAAGCAAAACCACCAGTCGACATCAAGATAGGCAGGCAATGTGGATGGAAACTGAGGGGTAGGTGCGGTGCGGGACCCCAAAGGGGTGTCTAATGATGGCCCTTCATGAACCACCTCTTGTGGGCCCTGGAATGTTGTTCTTTTCATATGTTTTCCTTGTTTGGCCACTTGTCCTGGCCACTTCGCTGAGATCCGCGACTTCCAAGACCTCAGCAGCTGCTGAGGGTTGCCTCGGTTCAGCGGTCGTTGTGATTGATGGCCCAATACCCAAATCGCCTTATAACTATAATATAATGTGCATCCATATGTCAGCTTGGACATGGGTCAGCTTCCCTAAGACATGAGAATTCCAAACACTGGTCCAAAGGCGGATGAGAAGTTTGGACCATCTCATCCGTGATGTGGGTGTGGACCATCTCAACCAAGCACCCAAAATGGTGGAAATATGTGGAAATCAAACCAGGGCTTTCCACCGAGTTGGTGACAAAGGGCTCCTGCAGAAGGGTTGAAGCAGTGAAGCAGTGATCCAGGTTTATTTAAAAACATTTAGTCATATGCAATGTATCGTGTATCCAAGTTGAATCATTGACATCCAACAACCCAATGAGGCAGTGGGAGGCCCCAATTGAATCGACCACTGTTCCCAGAGAGATCTAGAGGAGTTGAAGAGGTTCCAATTATCCGGCTCACTTAGGCACTTAGGCTCTTCAAACCAGCCCTTTGGAACGAAATCCAACCACTTCCTCCACCCTTCTGGGAGGCGGACCCCACCGCTGCAGGAATCAGCAGCACACCAAGGAATAAAAGCATTCGGCTCAGGAGCACTTCCTCTTCCCAAGCTTGAACGCCCACCTCGCGATCCGCACCAGAAACGAAGCGCCTTTTGTGTCGCACCAGCCGCTGAGAAGAGAAGCTTCGAGGGTTAACAAAGCATCGAGAGGGACCGAACAAAGGCTTACTCGGTGTCAGAAGTTCTGCTGACATATGTGTTTGATGATGCCCAAACGATATGCCTGACATCACCTGACAAAACCCAAGAGAACTTCCTGGAACCCCAGTCCCAACCAGAAATAAATGGTTCTTCCAAGTTCTGGCGCCAGCTTGAGATCCTTGCTAATAGCAAGTGGTTGTTGGTGGAAACATCCATTCATTTCTGGTTGTTGGGCTTTCCAGCTCGACCGGCTCAGCCGAGTCCGAGTCCCGGACGGCCATGAAGCTCAGCGCGATGACCAAGGCCGTCGAGCGCTGGCGCGATCGATGCGAATGCGGTGAGGGTTCTGTCAGTCGATCCATGGGGCCCATTGGGGCCAGGCTTCATTGCAGTGCCTGGCTTTTCTCCACAAGGAACAAAAACAGTTTCAAACATGAAGACTTCATGGAAGCTGTGGGGCGGTGGCATCTGCCATAACATGAACATCGAAATGAAAGCAACAACGTCTGATCTATATCTCCGATATGAGACTATCATAGCATCATCATCTGATCGTAACCGGATCGAAAGGGCGTGTTCAACCTGGCCACACCCGTTTCCGCGTTGCCTGCGGATTGGCCAAGCTCCTGAGAGTGCTTACCACCAGCGTCCAGCGTTCGTGGCTTTGGGATCAATGGGAGCGAAATGGAAAAGCAAGAGGCCCCTCTCTAAATGGATTGGACACATTTGGGAACTGTTTCTATTCTATATCTTAGGGATCACGGCATGTGAGTTTCTATTATGAATTCAATCTCGAGACTTTGGAACCCTCATTCTTTGCTGTGTGGATCCCGGTCGACTGCACAACCCCCCCCTCTGAGCCATATCCCAACATGGTTGCTTCTTTGGAGGTGCAAATGTGGATGCGGTTTTTTTCGGATTCATCGGATGTAGATGATCCAAACGTCCCAACCGGCAAAAAGGACGGATCGAGTGACCGAGTTGACGTGGCTCGACGTCGAGCGACGGTCGGGTTGGTCTGGTCTCGTTCTCGAGTTTAACGCAAAGAAGTGGATGGAGCCACGTAGAACCAGAGTAGCCAAGGCTTCGAAGCAAAATATACCAAATCATTAGGAAGCCAAGTGCAAAAAAAGAATATCACCTCTCAAAATAGATCTTGTGGTAGCCAATGTAAACAACGTGTAACATGAACTGATGATTTCGCAAATCTTTTGAAGGTGGCCAAGCATTGCAAGACAACCGCAAGTTGCCACAAGATCAAGATCTCAAAAACTGCAATGCGTATTTTCTCCTCAAGCAGGATGGATGGATTGGATGGGCTTAGGTGATTTTGTTTGCTGAACTTGCTGGTTTACTGGGCCCTTTCAGTTCCTGAGCCTTCTCTATTTCCCCACCCTCTTCGAATCAAGCGAAGTTGTTTAGTAAAATCATTGGGACGCAAGCTTTGTGCATTTGTTCATTTTTGGTTTGGATGGAGTTTTGTGTTTTTTGGACACAAATTGGAAACACCATCGCCGGGATTCTTTTTTGGAAGGCTCACTTGACAAAGTGGGCTCAAACAAATGGCCGTGTCGGCAAGTTTTCCCTGCAAAAAAACGGGTGCCAATCCCTTTTTCTTGAACAATTTGATGTTCAGGGCCAACCCCCATTTACAGACAGCGTGGACAAAATATATAGACCTACTCCAACCCCCCCTCAACCCTTCACCAGCAGAGATTGTTCTATAACACAATCATCTCCAAAAATCATACTCAAGCATCCCCCTTTTATTTCCTGTCGATCATCAGTTGTACCGTTCTACCCTGCTGGGGTCCCTCACTTCACAAAGCTCTGCAAAGAGCTGCTGGTTGCCTCGTTGGCACCTGGCGGTCGACGTCTGATTCGGTAACCAAACAGTCTGATTCGGTAACTATGATTCGGTAACCAAAACCGCTGATTCGGTAACCAAAATTACCAGAAAACCAAAACCAAAAACATTTCCAAAAGAAGAAACTGATGACCCGGGTAGTAGTACTAGTAGCAGTAGTAGTAGTAGGAGGAGGAGGAGTAGTAGGAGTAGTAGTAGTAGTAATAGGTGGTAGTGCCACGATGCAAAATCTCTCCGCGAAGCAACAGGAGAAACGTTATTATCTTGGCCATGATTCCCCCCACCCCCCACCCCACACTCCTCCTGCCGTCCGCCACGAATTCTTATTTGAATGAATGTAAAAGCCCTTTGCATCCACATGGAACGTTATTATCTTGGCCATGATTCCCCCCCGCCCCACACTCCTCCTACCCTCCACTCTGTTCAGCCATATGCTGTTGACAAACTAATTCTTACTTGAGTTTCTGAATCGGCTGCTTTGGTTTCTGAATCGGCCCGTTTGGTTTCTGAATCGGCTCATTTGGTTCCTGAATCGGACCATTTGGTTTCTGAATCGGACTGTTTTTGTTTCTGAATCGTAGTTGCTGAATCGGCCATTTTGGCTTCTGAATCGTAGCTTCTGAATCGGCTGTTTTGGTTTCTGAATCGTAGTTGCCTGATCGGTTGGTTTCTGAATCGGCTAATGACCGCACCTGGCTGACTGTGTGTGTGTGGGTGTGTGGGGGGTGGGGGGGGGCGAATATGCTTCAGATCCATCACTTTGGGGACTGAGACACCTGGCCAAAGGGGCAGGAAGCAGCGATTCGGGACAGAGACAGAAACTATACAGAAACGCGCCTTCGAACAATGCACATGGGCAGCGGCTGTCAATCTCATAACTTCATGACCTCAACCTTAATCTACCTTCTGCTTTGAAAACAACAATGGTTACCCTCAGGAAAACACTACATCCACACTTCCCTGAGATAGACACTTCATATCAGATAGGCCGCAAATGAGCAAGAAACCATAGCCAAACCTTTGAGTGTGCTTTCTGAAAGAGATAGGCACAAAGCCAGTGATTTTAGGAAACATTAGGAAACAATAGAGACAAGTAGATTTCTCAAAAAAAATCGCCCTTTGGCAGGTGACTAGGAAAACCTCCTTTATCGAAAGTATCAGCAAAACAACACCACAACTGCCCAAAGCAAAACTGAGGTCAAAAGACAGGTTTCCACTGTTCGCAGTCAAGTAGATGGAGATAGATGTCAGCAAGCATTCAACACAAACAGCTCAAGGAAACACAAACAGCTCAAGGAGAAAGGTGCCAAAAAGAAGTCGAATTTGCCCAAAGATTCTACTGGGCCGTGACGTGGGCCATGTGGGCCATATGCTCCGTCGTTGCGGAGCTTTGCGGCTTTGCCAAGAACATGATGTTCTCGCTTGCTGTTCTTTAAAAGAAACAAACACATGCAATGGAGCTTGTATGAGCAAAGGATGTTCTGAGTCTTGTGCATCAAACTACCCATCTCATCTACCCATCCTGCAACTGCTGCAACGAACTGGACCGGACTGGCCGACCCTACCCTCGCCTTCCCAACAGTCCTGGTGTTCCTGGGCGACTCTGGCAGATGGTCGGGCAATACGGGCAGCTGGGTTTCAAACCCCCAGCCTCAACCAAAAGCAAATGGATACACTCCCTGGAACTAACATGGAAGTGGATGGCATGGCCTTTTCGATTTTGGAAGACCCATGAAGATCCACGTCACTACAGGGTGGAGAGTACCACTAGAAATGTATAGTCCGATAGTCTCCACGGAGACTTCCACGAGTCCCAACCACTTGCTTGGTCCAGGATCTGCCGGGACAACCGATACGCCTGTGTTTCTGGGCCGCGAAAACAGGTGTTTGACCACCAAAACAGGTCCAGGTCTCAGCTCGTGTCGTCACGGCACCACCGGTGGATCTGTTGGTCTTTCCAGGTCGATCTCTGTGGCTCGTTTTGGGTGACAGCATGCGAGGCTGTTTTCGGTGACAGCCCTGCGGCCTGCACTCACCGAAACTGACGAAACTGTGGTGGAGGTCCATCCGCCATTCAGTGGTGAGATGTGGAGCCATCGCAGCATTCTTCGGGTCACCAGATACATCCGGGTTACTTCTTTGAGACCCAGCAAAAGCTGGTCACCGGAGCAGAGTTGTTTGTTCTCCTACACTGAGAACCAGGAAAACTCTGTGATTGAGGAGATGAGGACATCAAACTTTTTTTGTTTGTACAAGCACACGTCAGCTAAGAACTGTGGTCTGTTTCTGGGAGCTATAGCCATGCTGTGCCATGCTTAAACATCTTCGTGATGTGAGCCAAAGCTATGCTGAATCAACCAGTCAGAAACTTCTGGAATTACGATCAGCTCTGGTGCACACAATGCCTTGATGCCTTAGTTCGAGGACGGAGGATCATATCTTGGGGCAGCGGCAGAAGCTTCGTCCGATTCATGTGCAAGGTCCTCAACAAGCAGGTCAATTGCATCGAGGGTTTACGTTCAAATCCTCCACAAGGGCACCCTTGGAGTTCCATGATTCAACAAGACTGAGTTCGTTTCGATGTTCTTTTCGTCCTGTTCCTGCACCACATGCCGGTGGAATTCGCATGCTGTCGTTCCGCATCTGCGCACCCCACGAGGCCCGGCCCGGCCTGTAACGTTCCGCGCCGGCGCGTGACCATGGCGATCGTACGGACCCCCCCGGGGGGCTACCCGGTCGGAGGTAGATGGCGATTGTGACGAGTCCAATGAGGTGCAGGTGAAGCTGTAGCTTGGCAATGTCCGAAGCAACGGTGACATACTGCGACCCTCTTCAGGTGCCTTTGGAAGGAGCTGAATCGGAGCAGGTTGAGCCAATCTGCTGTTCCTTCGAAGGAAGGGGTTCAGCAGCACTGGTCTGCCGTGGTCGAATGCTCCGCCCATGTCGAATGCTCTCGAGCGATGTCGCTCTTTTTTGAGTCCGCCAGACGAGCGATGAGCTGACTGGGAAGGAAAAAATACACGCCTTGAGCGGCTCTTCCCGCATCAGCTCCAATCGTCACTACTATGTACTTCAATATGGAGAGCTCTGGTGGCCACTAGAAAGGGATGGATCGAAATCAAGAACCCCCAAATGATGGTTGGAAGTGCTTCATCCCTGCCCCCAACAAATCCAACAAATAACTGGTCTCCACCGACCCAAATAACATATCAACATGGCTTCACAGTCCATCCATTCGACATCATCCGACCGATCCGACCCAGTCGTCTTCCTGAAAAAAAGGCGGGGCGAAGTCCTGGTGTCTGCCCAGTGGGTCTTCCACGCCGCAGACTGCGACGCAATGTGCTCGTCCTGGTCGTCAGGCTGCCCGGTGCACCGGTAGATGCCTACTATCAGGCCCTCTCACTGAGAGCAAATGTTGCCTGAGACAGATGCGTAGCTTGGAGCAATCCATGCTTTTGGTTCAATGGAACAATGCTACGACATGATGATCCGACAAAGAAGCGCTCAGCTTGTATACTTGAGGCCAGGGGGAGAGGTCGAAAGCTAGCCGAATCGCACCGGATGTACTAGTTACATAGTCGGCAAAGCATGTAGGGATTAATTACATGTTTTGGGAGGAAGGTTGCTATGCACATACTTTGCGCTAAAGAATGTAAATGTGACATCGCTGACTGGGAAGGGTACATTGGAACAACCCGGGTGCACTCGTTGGCAAGCACGAAGATGCGTGATCGGCAAATCTGGGGGGTAAATTTACCCTCCGCTTTTGTATGCCTTGAGTCGGAAAGAGGGGTAAGCATTTCTGACATCATACGGACTGTACATACACTAGGGCGTCCGTAGTGTAGGAGAAGCACGGGTAAAAGGTATATGGAATAGAGTGTCTTGAGGAAATAGCCGGTGTATGGTTATTGCAAATCTGGGGGGTAAATTTACCCCCCGCTTATGTATGCCTTGTGCTGGAAAGAGGGGTAAGCATATCTGGCATCACAAGGACTGTGCATACACTAGGGCGTCCGTAGTGTAGGAGAAGCACTGGTAAAAGGTATAAGGAGTAGAGTGTCTTGAGGAAATAGCCGGCTTATGGTTATTGCAAATCTGGGGGGTAAATTTACCCCCCGCTTATGTATGCCTTGAGCCGGAACGAGGGGTAAGCATCACAAGGACTGTGCATACACTAGGGCGTCCGTAGTGTAGGATAAGCACTGGTAAAAGGTATCAAGAATAGAGTGTCTTGAGGAAATAGCCGGTGTATGGTTATAGCAAGCCTGGGGGGTAAATTTACCACCCGCTTATGCATGCCTTGTGCTGGAAATAGGGGTAAACAACTTGTAACGGTGAAGTACAAGTCCTATGCAGCAAGCAGCAGCCAGCAGCAGCAGCAGCCAGCAGCAACCACCAACCAGCAGCCAGCCAGCAGCACCACGCAGCAGCAGCGCAGCATCAAGCCGCAGCAGCAGCAGCAGCACCACCGGCAGCAAGCACCACCGGCAGCAAGCAGCAAACAGCAGCAGCAAGCAGCAGTAGCAGCGGCGTCGTCAGCAACAGCAGCAGCAGCAGCACCAAGCCGCAACAAGTAGCAAAGCAGCAGCTACAAAAGCGGCAACCAGCGGCAGCAGCAAACAGCAGCAGCAAGCAGCAGAGCGGCAGCAGCAGCAGCACCCTTTACACCAAGCCACCGTTTACACCCAACCAACCACGTTCACACGTTCAACCAACCCCCTACACGGCGCAGCTGGGAGTTGAACCGCGGGGGGGGGGTTAGCTTGATATATCAATCTTTAAGGCACGCAGCCCCTCCCACCACAACATTGCTAAAGCAAAGAAGAACTCAGCTAGCATGCTAGCTTTCGTGACAAACTGAAATGCTTTGCGAAAAAGGAAAGAACAAGCTGGTGAAATTAGACGAAGTGAACAAAAGGGCATCCTGCGGGTGAAGGAATATATAGTGTCCAATTGGCCATTTTGCTCTTCCATGTCTGTCCGTCAGTTAATATATACAAGGTGCGGTTACCTCAGAATATCTGAGACGTATTCATCTGCACACCGAACCGCTTGGGGGCCAAACAAGCTGCATCCACTGACAACGCACTTTGAGATAGGCCTAAGAAGGCCGCGGTCGGTGCGGTCCGACTGGCATCTTGACCAATCAGTGAGGGCCTGGGCGGGGTTTTATGAAGTTCGATGGGTCCAATTACGAACATGTACAAAGATGTCTTCTACCCTAGGCCTCCAAGTACCTTCTGAGAAGGTGGGACTGGGGTGGGTGCCAGGAGGGTCCAGTCATACCTTCGGAGGTACTAAGCAGTCGGTGTAGGGCTAGATTCCGCCACGACTCCGGCAGTCTGGGAGACAGACTCACTGTGTCACCAATCTCATGAACTTCCAGAACTCATGAACTGCTTCTCTTTTTTGGTGAAGCGTTTTGTTCCAGACCGCGGCTCGGTTCCCGAGCGGACATTGATCAGCGGTTCCGGCTCGCCCTGCGCGAACCGCGAGGAGCTGTGTTTCTGTGTTGGGGTGAGGAGCGAGTGGAGCGAGTGCCGGTGTTGGAGCGAGTGGATGAAACAAATATCTGAGATGTCCAAGTCCAGCAACCCCTGACTTTTACTAAAACATCTGACGATATCGAACGATATCTAATCACGAGGTTTTTGACCTTGCTCAACTGATTGAGACGGATGGCTTAGAAGCTCTCCTTTTAGAGACCAATCCTTCCTCCAAAAATTGGTTCTTGCTTGGATCAACGACCAGTCACCGAGGAAACGGTCTTCACACCGCGGCACAGGAGGCGCGACTCGCGGTTGCGACCCGCAGCCGCTGCGCGTCCCGGCCGCCAGCCGTTTGTTGGCGCACTGCGTGAGGCTCTGGAAAAGCCTGGTGCCACCGAAGGGTGCGGTGGATTCGGGTGAGGAGGCGGTGATCGACGGGAGCCGTCAGGATTGGTGGGTTTCGGATGGTGGACCGGTGCGAGCAGTCTCTTGGCGCACAAGTCTTGAGGACAATCTTCAGTGGCGACTGCTTCGATGGGCCATGAGAGGTGGTTCGGAACCAGTCCTTCTAAGAAGCCACCAAGAAAGGTAGGTGCAATGAGGATGATGCTGGCAAGAAAATGCAAGAAAGTTCCACCTTTAGGCAAGTGGGTCGTGATAGGATTAATTTGATATGTTATACTGAAGTGTTGGATGTCAAATGCTGATGGAAATGATGCTGAGGAATTAGATTTCAGAACGACCAGTGCCAGCAGCTCCAGCGGTTCCACCAGCATGAGCAAGCTCACCATCATTGTTATCAACTTCATCATAGCCCTTTTGTAGGGGGCCAGGTTCACCCCACCATCTTACACGTCTCAATACTCCAAGTTCTCCAAGCATTGGCCTGGTTCCAGTCGATCCAGATCCAGCGGCTGCCACCTCAGCTGCGCCCTCTCAGGCTGTCAGCAACACCCGACAGCGACCTCCACAGCGAAGAGTCCGCGCAGAGTCCGCGCAGAGTGACTGAGAGGCCAACTAAAGCTTCTTCGAAGCTGAACATGCTGTGCATCTCTTTCGACCTAGGCTAGGGTCAAACATGAACACCATTCCACAACCATGAGGCTGAAATAAGCAAGAATCGAGACTCGAAGCGGTCATCCCTGCTTGCACCTTTCAGTTGCGTGCCATGATTTCAAACGAATCCACACTAAATGCCGAATGCAAAAACCTACTTTTGAACTACCCGGCCTAGATTCTGACATGATACGCCACTCCGGCGCCCAAACTCCCAAAACACCTTCTTCTGCCTGCCGAACCCCAAAAAAACAAATCAAATCCTGGACACGCTTCTCCAAATACTGACTTCTTCCACACAATTATATCAAATCATGGGACAACGATGAACAACGTGAGTCAATGACTTCTTTGTTACACCCCCGGTGCCCCCGGGCGTCTTCCGATGGCGGCCGGCCGCAGATCGTTCGGCCGTCGCCTGTGGGGCGGGAGAGGTCGGTTCGATTGGGGGGCACCAAATGGAACTATCGTTTGGGTCTATATTGGTTGGGAGTGGTCATATTGGGTCTTTAATGGAACCATCGTTGGTTGGGAGTGGTCATATTGGAGTGGTCATGTCAGGAGTGGTCATATTGGTTGGGTCTATCCTATTACCTGTATCAGTGGATGATGATGGTTAGTAGAGGCCTGGTCCAAAAGTAGTGATGTTCTTGTTTACCGGCTGTTGCAGGTATTAATAGGACAAACCTAAACTGCGTATAGTGATCCCCCTGCAACTTCCCTGCCAGCCAAGCGGCACTCACTCTTACACGAAACCCTTCGGGGTCCCCAGTCATAGATAGCATTGCACGGCGTTTCACCAACAATAACATGGGGATCAACACGAACGCCCCTATCTATGACTGGGGGTCTATATAAATGAAACCAAAAGGACCTGGTAGGTGACTTATACTAGTGCCATCCTCTAAAAACGCTTACTTCCCAATACAAATGGCGGCAGCGTGGCGGTGTGTTTTCCGACTTCAAAATTAAATACCCCCCAACAGACGAGAATCATCCACTGCAGAGTTCCAAGAGTCCAGTGGATTGCTGCAGGTCAAAGCACCGTTTTTGTAATCCAGGAGTCACAAAGGGGTGGTGTTTAGTCCCTAAGTGAGTGGATAATGGCCACCCTATCCTCCATTAGGCACCCCGACATGTGACTGCTGGATGTGTTAAATTCTTTGCATGTTCAAACGGTTCCTCGCAGCAGCTCCCGTCGATCTCATCGTGTGGGTGGATTCCCCGGTCTCCCGGCTTCCACATGGGTGAAACCACGAGCACGTGGAGTTCACTATACCTGCTCATCCTGAAATCCCACCCCTGAAACTCCCCTCCACGCGACCACGGAAGACCACGAGTTGTGTGAAACCAGGGAGACACGTCAACTCCCAGAAACTCCTCGGCTCCCCCGTGGCGCACCGGGCCGGGCGCACTCTAGCCTCTTAGCACTGCCCCTTGGCGACCGGGACCGGAGCCTCTCGACCGACCCCCGTGGCCTCTAGAAGTTTCACACGCAAAGTGAAGCCCAAGCCTGGTGAAGACAGTGCTACAGGGCGGACAGGGCGGGAGTCCAGGGCGAACCTCTTTTTGAGTGTCCTTCCTTCTGTAGCTATAATATTAATACAAATTATAATGTACTGTATATCCTTCGAAATCACTGGAAATTCCTGCCTTCTGACAGAAAATCCTTAAGTTAGGGAACTGCTGTCAGGAGGAATTCAAGTGAATCTTCTGGGTGTTGCCAACTTTTAGGTGGATGAACTGTGCCTGACTGACTGCTACCAGAACCCTGCCTCCTTCAAGGAAGTCTCCTCTGGAACAAATACCTTCATGCAAAGTGAAGCAATTGGAGCCACTGCGCAATAGAGGAATCTCAAATTCAAAAATGCTTTTTTCAGGCTCCGCTATGCGCCTCTGTGATCATGGAAGTTCGACTTAAGCAAATATATCGCATCATGTGCCACTTTTCCTTCGTCGTCTTTTTTTTCCCGCATGGTCTAATGGCTGCTGGAGCCCAGTCGGTGATCTGTACGGTTTTGCGTCTGACAAACCTCTGCACACCAACGTCTGCACGTCGTATGCACCTTCGGATTGGTCTCAAGGGAGATGGCGTTGAGACCATCAGATCAATCCTGGAAGTTCTGCCCAAACCATATTCATTTACAGTCAAACAATGCAAGAACAAGCCAATGGTATTATAATTATAAGATTATATTTGTATTACTAATAAGTATATATATATAAATAGTATAATATGCAGAGAGACAGAGAGGTAGAGAGACCCAATCCCCTCACCTCATTTTCAAGAGGTGGAGGCGGCGCATGTCGAGGCACAAATTGGGCTCTCAGGTGATGCATCGTGAACTGCTTTACAGTCCAACATCAGCTGATCTCAATCGAAAAGCTTTTTCATCTTTTTCTCCTCAGCACGAGCAAGGCACAAGCGAGACTTGAACCATGCCCCATTGTTAATGAACTTGCACTTGAGCTCGCCAGGTACTTTGGCCTCATAGACTCCACTGACCACTCCGGCTGTGGCCTCCAGCATCCCTTCCGACTTGGCCACCAGTTCTGGCTCGGAACCTGAACCCGCATAACCTGCGTTGGAACCTTCTGCAATGAAGTGGAGCTCGTAGGAGATATCCCAATAGCAAACGCGTAGCTCCCATTCAATGGAGCAAGGTTTGGAGACTTTCATCAAAGGCACTTCCTCTGTGCAACGAGCTCTTACTGTGAGAGATTTGCAGGGCCCAGAAAGTCCATTGGTTCCAAGCATGCCACCAATGGCCTCAGGAACTACTTCTGGTGCTATGAATTTGAAGAGCTGTTCCTGATCCCTCTCACCGAGAATCTGAAACTTCTTCAGGGTCCGCTCGGGGATGAAGACTGAAAAGGCTTTCCACATTGAGGCAAAGGCGTTTGGGAAGTTCACAAAAATCGTGACACCCTTGGTCTCGGGATAGTGCTCAGCAAAGACTTTGGTCACTGCAGAGACTGCACCCTTGACCTGAGAAGTTTGGAACAGCAGGGGAACTCCTGAGTAGTCATGGACCTGAGTTAAATCTTCAGGTTCTCCTTTCTTGAAAGACAGTTTGGAGATGGCCATTTCCATCAGCTTTGCTCGATATCTCACAAAAGCCTCCACGTCACCAAAGACTTCTTCCAAGTTCATCTTCCCAAATCGGCTGATCATCACCGGCCTCCCTTCCACGTCATAGCCACTGATGACATCATGACCCTGGTAACACTTTGGGAGCTCTGCATCCTTCAATGCATCGATCTGACAGTCGGCACGAAAAACCAAGGTCTCAACGATTCGCTCAGCGGCCTTCGCCACATCAAGCTCTTCAGCTCGAATGTATTTCAGGAGTACCTGACTTCAACGTGTCATTGAGCTGCAAAGCACAGCTGCGTCTCAAAAAGCCTTCTTTTTACGAAGCGGGCAACAAAGTTCAACGTTCTTCGCCCCAAAACGTTTCATAACAAACAACGAGTACTGTACTGTATGTCATAGTATGTTTCTCAAAATCATGAGAAAATCATGATCAGGTACAATATCCGAAGCTTCAGTCTCCTTCTCCAGCTCCACTCCCCAAATGCTCAGCGTCTTCATCGCCTTCGCCTCCTCCGACTGCTCCTTGGCTCGTTGGATCAACTGTGGCAGCTGGCCACGCAGCTCGGACAGCTTGCCACGCTCGGAGTCGCCCAGGTTCTGCAAGTAGCACTTCGACAAATCCGCCATGGCGACCGGCAGACCCGGTGGAGAGACCGGACGTCACGCGACCGGACACGTCACCGACACGTCAACAGGGGTGTTGTGCGAGAACGGATCTGAGTGACAGTGTGTATTGATGAAGAAGCTGTACACTCGGGTGGTTTGATTGATCTCGGAGCTGCGACAAATGAGAAGGCACCGAATAGTTTCAAGATGTGCCAAAACATATCGTATATCCAATATCCTTGAAGACACGCAATATCCTGAAACGCCACCAATTTAGGGATCTAACATGTCCGACCCATCAGTTTCATGCTGCAATATATTGCAATGTGCAGCATAAGGAATCGACGCATTCATGCAGAGGAAATTGAGATGCATTGAGCCTCACCTTCTCTCAAGTTCCATGGATCTGCATGCGCTTGAGCAAGATGGTCTCGATTCTTCTGTCCTGCGCGACGATCATCGACGACGACGGATGACACATGTCTAATGTCCATTCCCGGCCAAGAAATTCCTCATCTAAATCCCTGCAAAATCGTTGGGTTGATCAAAATTCCTTCAGAATTGCTATTCTTCGCGCACAACGGATCTCTCTGTGTGTGTCTCTCTCTCTCTCTCTCTCTCTTATCTTATATAAATATATAGGGAGACCTCCAAAGACCCCGCTGGAAGCAGGAAAATTGGATAAACACACACAAAAAAAACATTTGGTTGGGTATGGTTGGTTGTCTCCCTAAGAAGATCTATTAAGATACACCCGGCCCATAATTAGATCAGAGAGAGAGAGAGGGAGAGTGATCAACTCTCAAATGAATCACCGAACCATCCGCCAAGATCGCCTCAAGACCCCCCCCCCCCGTCGACGTGCCGACGATAGAAGACCCATGGGGAAGTCCTGACTTCGGACTGTCTGGCTCTTCATCGGGCACATGGCTTGGAGTGACAACCTGAGGAAAAACACAACGATGCCAAACAATCCATCAACATTCAGCCCTGACTTGGGATATGCTGAAACTTGCAAATTCAGCATGCGAGGTGAAATTCAGCTCGAGATCCAACAGGTTTGTGTCCGGTTGTGGTTGGCTTAAGAAAACGTGGCGAAGTCTTCAGGTGCCACGTGTTCGCGTTTTGCTTCCTGGGTGCTTGGACTCTCGATCGAGGAGTTACTGGCTTTGCCAGGGCTTCCTGGGTGCTCGGAGACTCGAATCTCTGGTCACTCTGATTCTCTGGGCATCGCGACTCGAACGGAGCAAGGACGCTACGAACAGGGGCTCCTGGCCTTACTACTAGGAACAAGTAGCTACTAGAAGCTTTTTCTGGAGTTCTGGAGAAGCCTTTTTCCTTCGATCCATCCAACATCTTGCGGGGCGTGTAGAAAAGAGTCGCTCTCCATCACCATCTCCCCCGGACCCTGTCTCCACCCGAAATCAGACCTCGGACACCGTAAGGACTGAGAATGGACGCTGGCTGCAGGCCTCGCCTCTGTGGTCTTCCTCCAAATTTCTTGCACCAAATCCAGGCATTTCAAGTCTGGGAGCCTTCCTGAGATCAGCCAACGCCGCAAATTCCGCTGTTGCTGATACACAGACTGTTGAATGGAACGTTTGATCGAATCTTAACACATCTTAATGCGCCCCATGTTTTCATATCACGTAGCGCGATAGGGATGCTTGCTCACAGTTTTATGCCACAGCTCTCAAGAAAAAAACATCCGACCGGAACACCCGACCGCCCGACCTTCGAACTCACGAGCAATCGCACGTGTGATTTGACCACGGGTCAAGAAGCCCACCTGTCCCGTGCGGTCGCGAGCGCGAGTCGTGTTGTCGCGCGCGCAAGTCATGCGGTGCGAGTCAAAAGCTTCTTGCAAACTGTGGCGAGGTATAGAGGCATCGCAAAAAGCTTCTTTGGAATTTGGAACTGTGTTTATAGCGTACTGGAGAAACATGGCGATCAACAGACCCAAACGCTCCATGGGACTAGAAGATTTACTTTACAGTGACCCTGGGTCAACCACACCAATGTAGCCAGGTCAATATGCCAGCCCCATGGCGTGTTATACACCTGACTATCCACCGGAACCGTGCCTGACTCCAATCCCAGAAGTCAAACCACCTGCCAGCGACAGTTGAAATTTGAAAGAATTCCTGGTGCGGTGCAGTCGAACATGCCCAGCACCCAGGGCGCAGGACTAGCCATGAACCGGGGGATAGACAGTTCAGCAAAAAACCTGTCCCAAACAATCCCAAACACTCCATGTATGGCATATCTACATATATTTACCTATACATTCACCTCTGAAACCATCTCAATGTAGATACATATATGCCAGCTCCATGGACTTGGTTTGAGTCTCTTCCGATTTGGTTTGGTCTGCATGAGCTTCCAAACTTGCCCAGCGCTTCCAAACTTGCAGCAGCTGCCAAGCCTGACACAATGAATGGGTCTGCAGGGCTTGTATGACCAATTTGCTGAACCTACAAAGTAACCTGCAACTCCGAGAAAGCTCTGGGAATGGGTTCCGTATGCAAGTTCAGCATCGTCCTCTTGATTCTCAAACGCTAAGCGAGAATAGCAACCAAGTCTGTGCAGCCTACTCATGCCTACTCAATGTCGTGAAAGAATCGAACTCGAAGCGAACCAATCGCTTGACACAGGATGTAAAGAGGCCACAGTTGGGGCGTTTCAATTGCAGGAAAACGGCCCTGTCATATACAGTGCAAAACATGTCAACCTCGATCTAGATCCGCTCTGGTGTCATTTCTTGGAAGGATGAAATTATGATGAATTACTATAACATTCGACCTGTAAACAGTTAAACAAGATTGGTACGAGTCTGAATCATCATGTTTCCAATCCAATCCAGTGATGCATCATGCACCGGATCACACCGGATCAGCATGCATCCATGAATGATGCTAAGGTCTCCACATGGAAACGGGCGTTGGCCACGGTGAAAGAGTTTGAGTCTGGCTAAGATCCAAACCTCAGCCGCGGGATGTGGCAAACACGTCATCCAAAAGTGTGGGGCCCAAAAACTGAACGCACAAAAGAAATAGAAATATTAAATATACATCATATACCATACTTTATATTGTATAATTGCATATATGTATATATGTATTATACAATATATACACACTCTGATCCTCCCAACTGGACCAACCTGCTGCTCTCAATCTGTTTCGTGGCTTTGCATGATTGGCACCCACTTTCTTCCATTCTGAGGCGGATGGCCAACAAGCCTCCTTCAGGATCCTGGTTTTTGGGTCTTTCACGGAGAAACGGGATTGAGACTATTGGGGCGTGGCACCTAAGACTCGTCGTTGGGGACCCCCCAAAATGAATGAAATGAACCTTCCCCCAAGTCTGATTAGTCCTTGACCTGTGGCCATTCATATGATATGTGGAGAGGAAACGAACCAAATCCAGTGCCATGACAACCCCTCCGCGTGTTTTCGCTGTGCAGTACCATCACCCTCAGCACACACCGATTTCAATCTCCTCAAAGGCTTGGCGAGTGATTCGTCCAGTGCCTCCAAACCAATTCAAGGCGAGGTTGTGGTTCAAGGCTTTTGGGGCGCTTAGAAACCCCTGTTTCGTATTTGGTGTTTTCTACGGTTTTGGTGTTTTCTAGATGGATCCCGGATAAACATGTTCAGACTCACAAGCGTACAATGGACCAGCTGGATTTCATTAGGGTCGAGGTCCAAAACGGTGGGAGAAACAACAAACCAACAGCCCCGAACAACTGGCATCAAAATCAGCCTGCTATGTGAACTGCTGGACACTGTTTACAGCCTGCTAGGTTAACTGCTGGGCAATGGCACCATCGCAAGTTCACCAACAAGTGTCGCGTTTTTGCCCAAAAGTGCTGTCTTCAGAAGTGTGAACCTTTTCAACCTGCCACGCGAGCACATCAACATGACCCGACTGCAGCATCTCAGCGTGAAAGCAGTACCACTTAAGCATGCCGACACGTTGGGGTGACCCATGCCAATGCGCAGGCATGATAACATGCTGACACACACGAGCATCCCAGCGTGACAACACAAGTCATGTCAGCATATTGGCAATGCAGCGGGTCAGAAGATAGACACAGCGTATCCGCAAAGTGCTCCGGAAGTTGCTCCGGAACGTCCATCAGAACCTGCTCCAGAAACCCTGGAACCTCCTCTGCAACCTCCTCCAGAGCCTGCTGCGGCACCTGCATGAACTCGCTTTGGAACCCTCCAAAACTTGCTCTGGAAATTGCTCCGGAACCTGCTCCGGAACTTGCTCCGGAACCCCCTCCGGAACTTGCTCTGCTGGACCAGAACCTGCGAAGTCTCTACTACGATGGCTGAAGACCCCCTAAGCTTCGCTGTTGGAGAAACAAAAAACCTCGCCACAGCCTTAGTTCATCTAATTCTGCCGCGAAAGCGGCCGGGAAGCAAACAGTGAATGTGGGGATTCCAATAACAACATCTCGACTGTTCAAGATGGCTTGATCGTTCGCCTGCTTTGTCCCATTGTCGCCATAGGGCAGAGGAAGGCAGCGTGGGCAAAGGAGGTGTTTCAGCCTTCTCCTCGACCTCGAGAGCTTCGACATGGAGGCAGTAAGCGTTACACAAGAATAGCTGAAAGCAAACATAGCACCTGGACCTGGAGCCTCTTAGAAAAAAAAAAGAACTCATCCACACACAGGAGGAAGAAAAGAAAACAAGCGCTGATTGCAGCACCTCATCATCAGGATCAGCCAACCTCTCCTCAATAATTTCCACTTCGCCTCACATGGGTGTTCTTTCAAACCAAAAGAGCGATCTCTGCGACAGGGGAGGCCTCTGATGTGGGAAGGAGGGTGGAAGGGTGGCTCCCACCACTTGGCCTTCGCTTGCAACGGTCTGGTTCAGCACTGATTCAGCTGGAGCCTCAAGGAAGGAAGACTCTTTGCCACAATCATACTGAAATGCTTGCACACAACAAAGGATTAGTATGAGCATATTGAAGCAGGAAGTTGAACTGTGTCTTTCACATTTCACCTTTGGTCTTCACCTAAGCAGCTTTCATCACCGGTCTCCGGCCTCATCGGGTTCAGGCTTCAGAAGGGCCTCCAACTTGTCACGGTCAATTGGCAACACCACTGCCTTGACACCGAGCCAACAGGGCGTTCATGTTCTTTTGTATTTTGGCCCGTGGCCTTGCCTCCGTACTTGATTAAGTAGGCGCATACTGAATTAAGTCAGGGACTAAACACCTAGTTACTTAAGCTACTAGTATGGACACAGGATAGCTTACCCTTCTTCAAGGAAGCTCCCCCTGCCTGAGGGTGGGGGGGAGCTTCCTTGAAGAAGCGCTCGCACCATTCATTTGGTTCCTAGATTTGTAGGGAAACTTAAATTACCCTGTGTAAAAACTTTAAAGGAGTAAAAACATACCTGCCGGCGGAGCATGGACTTCCAACTTGACAGGTACGACTACACATCCAAATCAGCAATCGATGATTCTAGCAATGGATTCAAACCACATGACCAGAGGCCCAAACGGCCGCCCAAAGCGCTGAGTGCCCCACCAAAGCCCCAAGCACCTGAAGATGATCGAAGATGATCGAAGCGAAGCGAAGAAAAACACAAGTGGAGGGAGGCTGATGTCTTTTTGAGAATAGATGGGTCGATGCTGGGCTGCCAGGTACAAGTTTGTTCACGACCAGGAGTATCCCCTCTATTAGTGGAGACGGCTGAGTAATCAAAACATATCACAACCATTGCCAGTAACAGTGGATGATGATGATGATGATGATGATGATGATGATGATGATGATGAGTAAAGGTCTTTCTCAAGTGATACAGTACTGTAGTCTTTTACCGACTGTTACTGGTAATGGGACACACCCGATATATGATTGATAGGACAGGTGGTTCAAACCAATCGAACGCGACCTTGCTATCAAAAAGCCTCTCAGCTTCTTCGTCATTCCGTCAGTCCAAGAAGTTCCCCACCTCATCCAAATCCAAATCTCCAGTGCGATCCACGTCCATGGCATCAAACCAAGCCCCGGGACCTCGAGAAACCGCGGTAAAACGATGGTGAAAAGGCTCAAACCAGTTTCCGCTCAGCTGGAGAAACGCTGTCTTATGCCAGCGACCAGTTCTTCGTGGAGGATGCTCCGGGTTTTACAAGGTGATATGACTAACACAAGATTTATTAACCAACATGCTTTGAGAATGAGAACAAACAGTCCAAGAAAAAATGTCTATCCGATCTTCAGAAACATCAACTTAGAGAAACTGTGATTTGTTGATGTTTCATAGATGATTGTGGAAGAACCAAACACAATGTATATTTGATGTATTTATAACTGATAGATACTTTTAGAAAAAAAAAACAATGTGATGTCTTCATATTTTGTGTTCTTCGACTCTGGAGATCTCTGGAAAAAAAGGCAAGCCACGCCGGGCCAAGCCGCGCCGCTCCGGTTAGCCGCGTCTGAAGTCCCCACTGAGTCGAATGTCTGGCATCTCTCTGACTTCGCTGAATCCTGCACGGCCTGGGGGAGAGATCTGTGACGATCGGTGACGATCTGCAGCGAACAAACAGGGGTTACCGGGTTTGCCCCACTGAAAACGGACATGTCGACATACATAACACCCTGAAAACCCACTGGTTTTGGTAGAGGAATACAATCTTCCGTTGGGCCAGGACGTCAGGGTCTATGTTAGTTTTTTTGGGAGTGTATCACATAAACACATCAAATGTCATGGATCACAAGAAGCCATGAGTTCGACCAAACAGCACCACCTGTGGCTGCCTTTTTCGTGAAGGTTGAATGTGGAAGGACCATCTGAAAATCTCTGTGTTTTTTTAAACCAATCTATACCAATCTTAGTGTTTTTGCATGTGGATTTGGTTCTCCAAATCGTCCAAAAAATTCCCAAATCACCCAGGATTGTTGCCATAATGGGTCCAATCTCCAATCTTAGTGCTTCCCAAAAATCAGACCCAGGACCTGCAGGACGTTGTTTCATGCTCTTCGACCCCACGAGTTGGCGTTCGACTCTCCAAACAACACACGGGACTCAGGCGGCAACACACGGGGCACTTGCGTGTTGCCAGCTGCTGGGCACACTCCAAGTGGAAGATATGCCGACAAGCCTGTCGCACGCGGACCGGACTCCAAACGCCGAGCTGCCACAATATGTAGAGTATGAAGCTTGCAATACTGGCCACTGATCCACATGTCTCTTGTGTTCAATAACCATGGCTCTCCTTCACAAACACCTGACCACACGGTTTTATTGAAGCCGTGTTGAGGGGTATTGCGATAGAACGCGCATCGGAGTGTTTGTGAACTCCTAGGCACTATGTGACTAAGTTACTCTAATTGTGTTTTTTTGTTTTTGGTGTTTCTTGTTGTTTGTTATTGATCCGATCAGTATGTTCATTGCTGTCGTCAACACTATGGCATATCATTGTTGCTGCTGTTGTTGTTAGAAGGAACACAAGCAGCTGCCCAACACAGTTGCCACATGTTGCAACTCTGGAACTTCCCGGGGGCAAATTTAGGGCTACGGCGCCTTTTTCACAAGGGAATCTTGGTTTCAATAGTTGGACATGCTCGCCAAGAGAAGAGTTCGGAGTTCCAACAAAACCAACACGTCTGCAGACAAACACACGTCTCCTGCGGTCAATGCCATTACTGGTCTAAGCCGGCAAACAACTCAAGCACCAGCGTCATAAACCAAGTCCCGACAGGAAACGACCGACGGAAGTCGCAAAATGAAACGACTGAGCGAAGTCGCAACAGTTTCGTTGTTACTCTCCCAGCTGCCCGCATCCCCAAAACGGGCAACCTGGCCCGAGTCAGACAAGTCCTATGACCAAGAACAACAAATTTCTAGGAGCGGGTAGAGGAAAACAACAACCAACAACTATAACATATTCACTGTTGAGATCTGTTGAGGGGGGAGGTCATTAAAAAAAAAACCACGGGACTCCAGTCCTAGCTTCCAAGATGTGGTAATGTGGTACATAGGGTTTGCTATAAACAGCAGCAACTGCTCCCACTACTGCTACTGCTATACTACAAGTACTATGCTACACGACTACTAAACTACCACTACTACCACCACCACCACCACGACGACTACTACAACAATTACTGCTGCTACTACTACTACTACGACTACTACGACTACCACTACCACTACGACTACTACGACTACCACTACCACTACGACGACGACTACTGCTACTACTATTACTTTACTATTACTACTACTACTACTACTACTACTACTACGACTACTTCTTCTTCTGCTGCTGCTGCTACACTACTACTACTGCTACTGCTACTGCTGCTGCTGCTGTTACTACTACTACTACTACTACTACTACTACTACTCGTGGAGGTGGTGGTGGTGGTGGTGTTCGCAGTAGCAGCAGCAGTAGCAGTAGTGTAGCAGCAGCAGAAGAAGATGTAAGTAGTAGTAGTAGTAGTTGTTGTTGTTGTTGTAGTTGTTGTTGTAGCAGTAGTAGTAGTAGTAGTAGAAGAAGAAGAAGTAGTTGTAGTAGTGGTAGTAGTAATAGTAGTAGTAGTAGTACGACCCGAAGTGGTAAGTTACCCCGTCGCACATGAACTTGACCCACCCCCATGGCACACCGCTTACCCCACGAATGTAAGAACTTACCCCATTTGGAAAACACAATGGCACACCGCTTCGAAACAAGCTTTTTTTCTCCTAGATTGTTTCTAAACCTACAATTCCATTGCGATTCAATTTTCTACATGTGGATGTTTTCTAAGGTTTTCTGTGGGTTGCCATGATCCAATCCGCTGACACCGATTCTGACCCACATGTTGGTACCAGCTTGAAATTTCTACATAGAGTGCAAACAGCATGGAATTGTTCTGTAAACGTCAAACATATCTATTCATTCTTGCGTGTTTTCCTCTCCCAATCCCCATGGCACACCGCTTCGAAACAAGCACTTGTTCTCCTAGCCTAGATTGTTTCTAAGCCTACACCATTCCATTGCGATTCAATCTTCTACATGTTGATGGGTTCTAAGGCTTCCTATGGGCTGCCATGATCCAACCCCCATGGCACACCGATTCTGACCAACATGTTGGCACCACCTTTAAGTTCCTACCTCGAGGGTAACCACCCAGATGCGAAAGTCCTTGCAAAGCAGTTGCGGCAAGCAAATCACACTGCGACACCACACCACGACTAAGTCACGGCAGAGTCCTTGCAGACTTAGTTTCCGCATGGGACACCGCATTTCACCAAGCAGCAAAACAACACCAACAACCCAACAGCAGCAGAAGGTAACCAGCAGCATCCCACCAGCAGCGGCCAAACAGCAGCAGCAAGCCGGCAGCAGCAAACCAGCAGCAGCCAAACAGCAGGCAGCACCAAGCCAGCAGCAGCTAACCAGCAGTAGCTAACCAGCAGTAGTAGCCAACCAGCGCCAGCAAACCAGCAGCAACTGGTCGCAGCCAACCACCAGCAGCAAAACAGCACAGCGCAGCAGCAGCAGCAGCAGCACCCAACCAGCAGCAAACCAACAGAGGCTAGAAACCAAATCATCTGTGATGTGGGATTGGTGAAAACGGTGTGCGCACCCGCTTCCGATCTCTGCCAGAAGTATGCTAAGACCACGACAAAACCCACGGTTAGCTTGCATTTTGCCTTCTTTGGTGTCTGTGTGTGTGCGCGTTCCTTCCGCATGGCGACAAGCAGCAGCAAGCAGCAAGCAGCAGCACCAGCAACAACCAAGCAGCAAGCAGCAGCACCGGCAACAACCAAGCAGCAAGCACCACCGGCAGCAGCAGCAAACCAACAGCAGCAGCTGCAGCAGCCAACCAGCAGCAAACCAACAGCAGCCAACCGCCAGCAGCAGCAGTAGCCAACCAGCAGCAGCAAGGCAGCAGCAGCAGAAAACCAGCAGCAGACCGGCAGCAGCAGCAGCGAACCAGTAGCAGCCAACCAGCAGCAAACCAACAGCAGCAAGCCCGACATATATTGATTACCATAGATGACCAAACAACAAACGCCTCCACCCCTAGACACGAAACTGCATGGGGACACGCTTCGCAATGACTTCTCAAAAACACTAATCAGACTGCTCCTCGCTCATCCGCTTTGATGGAGATGGGGCCTTCTCGAAAAGGCTTCAACTATGGGTTGACAATAGCAACCTCTAGAAACAAGTTCAAATTCATAGCTATTCGATTGCTTGCCCCAATGGTATATTGGTTTCACAGACATTGCAGTGTGAACGCGAAAAGCCCGTGCGCCACGCAGATCTGGCATCAATAAGATGGAGAAGTATGTTGCTCATCTCTTCTTGATGGCTCCCCCCAATGGCACACCGGCTTCCATACGAGATCTTGACCACGATAGGGGTAGACACAGGCACCCAGTATGTAGAAACAAATGCACGAGGCAAATGAGGCCTGCCCTCTTTCTGTCCCAACACTGGTTGGGAAGCGCAACTTGGGCTGGTTGTATTCCAAGCACTAGTCACCAAAAAGAACAAATACACAGTATGAAATGACCAAACAATGATCGTCTACAGTCTACACTGCTAGACACAAAACTGCTTGGGGACACCGTTTCGCAACGATTGTTGAAAAACCCCTAGTCACAATGTATAGTGAAGCCAAAAACATGAAATCGCAACGGCGCACTTGGGAGTACAATAAGCTTGAGACAGAATCAACAGTGTGCCCTTGCGGTTTGGTCGAATTCTCAACCTGTGAACAACAACATACATACAAAAACTTAGCCCAATCAAGCTTTCCCCCAAGGGCACACCTCATCTGGCACAAGTTCATGCCATTCGAGACCTGAGCACCCAGTACCACTGCTATTTCTACTATACAGGTCGTGGTGCTTGTTGGCTTGTTGTTGTGGAGGCGTGCCAAGAAAGTGCAGCCTTAGTTTCCACGGCATTTTATAAGTCGAATTTGTGTTGACGGGGCTGCAGTTGTGGTTTGTACTTCTTCCTTCTCCTCCTCCTCTTCTTCTTCTTCCTCCTCGTCTTCGTCTTCGTCTTCGTCTGCGTCTTCGTCTTCGTCTGCGTCTTCGTCTTCGTCTTCTTCTTCTTCTTCTTCTTCTTCTTCTATTCCTCTTCCTCTTCCTCTTCTTCTTCTTCTTCTTCTTCTCTGTAATGACACGGTGTTGATGTTGTTAGGCTGTTGGCTGCTGTGCTGGCTTGTGGGAGCCGACCTTGGGCCAGCACAAGGCCACTGGGCTGGGCCTGCGGGATGCGTTTGGGCCAGCTTCACTGCAAGGCCACTAGGTGGGGTTGTTGCTTTAGACGAGCAGGACCCAAAGGCTTGCAGCTTGAAATATCACTATCTCTGTTCTATCATCCAGGAAAAAACCGTCAGAAGAACTGACTCTTTCCACTGGGGGCCTTCCGTTTCCCGGTCGATTCGTTCCGGTTCGGCGTCACGCCGGGCGGCACCCATCCGAGCTTGCCAGCCGCCAGGAGGTATGCCAGTCGGGACTCGCTGCACACCTGCGACGCAGGCCGCGCAGGTGTGGGTGACGAGTTCCCTCGTTCGACCCGCCCATTGCGAGAGGTTTGCATCAAGCATCAGCTTCCGTTCGATCGAAGACTGGCACAAGTTTGGGCAAGGAACATGCGACATCCTCTACTGACACTTCCAGTGAATGCGTCAAGTCAAGAAGTCCTAAAAATGGTACACTACCGGACGTTAACATAGACATGGAACACGGTCTCTACTACGGTTCCTTAGATGAACATGGTCTTGAAAAGGTTCCGGTTTGCGTCAATGACCTTCCGGGTCTTTACGGTGCATGACCGTCACTCCAACGACCTTCCGCTAAAACGGAAGCGACCTTCCACCTCGCGGTACCAAACACCACAGAACCATAGCACCGTATCACCCGGTACCACCCTTTTGCTCGGTTGAAGATGTAGGGTTACACAGAACCGAGTGAATGCTTCATCCACCACAGAACCATCTCTTCCGGCCACACGGGCACACCACCCGGTCGGTTCGATGGACTTGCGTCGGCCTCCGAAGCACCATTGAGTGACCAAGCACGGAGCATTACGCACCGCGGACCAACCAGGAAGCCACGCACCGCGCGGTATCAACGCTACGCGCGGTTGGGGGTCGATCACGTCTCGGAAAGATGGGCACACCAGCCCCGGGTTCGTGAATGCTGACCATGGATGGGTGTCCTGGATGGGTTTCAGGTGCCTGGATCACTGACCCAGCACGACTTACCTGCTCGACGGTGGGACGGAAATCACGGCCTGCTCGAGGCAAATCACGCACTCGCTGACTTCCCCCTCCAAGTTTGCATCGATCATGTCTGGCCTAAACGCGTAGGCGCAGGCTGTGCAGGCTGCGCCAAAGCGTGCGCAGGCTGCGCAGGCTGCCAGTGGGTTCAAAGGTTTGGTCGTTTGGCCACGGTTCCAAAGTAAGAACACAAAAACCAACTACAAATGCGGAAGAATCACACGCCGAACAAGTCACTGGTATTCTTCGTTGGGTAAGCTGTAGATGTACAAGTCGGAACCTGCCCGGAACCCTCTGTCGGCTGCAGAAAACCAGAAGCATTCTGCTGTTGGAGAACAGAATAACATATTAATAGAATAACATGCGAAAAATCCTTCTGCCGCATCTTGATTTCGAACTCTTCGGTCGCGTCGCCTGCCTTTGCGTGCCTCGAGCCGGTCGGTTCGGGTCGCACATTGGGGCACCCCTGCCGGGTCTTTTCACTGAGCATGTCCAGATGGCTCAGGGCCTGGGCGATGGCGCGGGTCCGACGGGGTTTTCTTGTCTTTCCCAGACGGGGCAGAGGGAGGAAACTCTCCACTCCTCTCAAAATACGATATGTTTACTATATAAAGGCTATAGTTGTTATATGAAAGAACATAATTGTACGTAGTTAATATTTTTTATATGTTCTTGTTGTGGTGAGCAAGAAGATGTCTTCACCGCAGATACAAGTACCCTCAAAATTGACCCCGGTACCTGGTAGAAACCAATGGAGAATCCGCTTTCTTTGGCTTTCCCGTGCAGGATTTCCTCAACTTTGGTCGCTGAAATCGTCTGAACGCCCGTGTTTTTGGGAGACGCACGAGAGTCGAATCGTCTCAGCATGCGGATTTGGTCTCAGAGCGGTCTCTCAGACTGCGTGTTTACCCATATGTGACCGATCTTTCTGGATTCTCCAAGCTCCCGGAATCCGAACTTTTGACCGCACAGTGTCCCATCAGCGGTGTCCCATCGCCCGCGAAAGGAGAGGAGCTAGGGCCACAAACATGCAGCAAACGCACATTGGATTCCACCTGTTCGATTTGACCCGCCCGTGTTGGACAACCAATGGGCAAACTCTGATGGGTCTAACAAACTGGACCTGTTCGATTTGACTTCATTCTAGTCCCCGTACGTGTATCATCCTCACTGATGGGAAGAACAGCATGTGGCGGATGATGGTGAACGTAGGTTGGCTCAGCAAAGCTCTGGACAGTGCTGTTTTGAAGGATTGTTGACAGTCCATGCATGGCATATTTACCTACATTGGGATGATGGTTACAGTATTCACATTGGTCAACGTAGGTATATAAATGGTGTGTATAAATATATATTCCATTGTATTCCATGCATGGAGTGTCTGGGATAGGTACCAGGTAGTGTTTCTCACGAGGGTCACAGGGTGGTCCAGGGATTGCCTTTTCGACCCCACATAGAGGAGGTTTGCTGGTACCGGGCATGCTTCATGAACCAGTCTGTGATGCCACGTAGGTGAACTCCCCAAGCCCGCAGCGAGGCCAGTCATGGCATGTGCCGCTACTCCCAGGTGCGATGGACCGCTACTCCCAGGTGCCCGCCTGATATTGTCGGTGATTTCTCATGTAATCAGCAACCCCGTACCTTCAGCTTTGGGGTTGGATCAAAGCTGGACAGGACGCGAGGCAGCATCGGCTGATGAACTGTTGACATGACCCAGTATGAGTACTCCTTGTCATAGTCTAAAGACACGAAAGGACCATAGACACTGCTATAGACGCATTGAAAGTGGAATGGCCGGTGGCTGTGAGACATGGCACCTCCCCCACCAGACCATAGGAGGTTGACCTCCCTGGTAGTCAGTTCATTTTCAGGAAAGGAGGGCTCTGTCCGGCCCCAGACTGAAAAGGTCGCGAAGCCTTGACCTTGTGAGGAAGAGTCTGGACGGGCCACCCAGGTGCCATATCACTACCACAGTGCAACACCCCGTGGCTCACTTGGGCTGCGAGAGGTACTCACCTCAACGGGACTGGCCAGGAGAACATAGGATAAGAGGTATCAAATGGAGTAAACTATCAGCATAGTATAAGTAGTATATAAGCACTGTTTTTGACAGTGTTCAATCAACCCTCTGAAATTCTGCAACCCAAGAATCCCTGTAGCTTGTGATCCACTAGAGCCAATGAAGGACTATGAAGGGACAAAACATCTTCGGACCCAGCCCACCTTGCTGCTTCATGATGCGTTCCAAAATCTCCTCCAGGCGTTCTTTCCGCTCAGCGCCCTGGCTTGTGCGAAGCACCGATTCCATCCACCACGTGGAATCGAACAGAGTGGTGCTTCGATTCTCAGGTGTTTGGGGCTTTCAGATGATTGGATCCCAAGATTCAAGCAGCACTCTCAGCTGCCCAGCCTTAAGACCTGCGACACCAAAGCCCAGTCGCATTCCCCCCAGGTGGTCCGGATTGCACAGGAAGGGTTGCGGAATGTGCAGGACCAAGCACAACCTCGTGGGCTCTTGCAGCTGGTGGCGAATTCGGCACGCCATCCAACACAATCAAAACAACTCCTTTCACAGCACCAAAGAAAGCGAAGATCATCCGTGAGCTTCTGACCCAAAGGTCTGTGTATCCGTCAAGGACGGCACCTCAACGCGCCAAACTCAGTCGACTCAGTCTAGACTCCATGTAGTGTGGCATATGGTCTATTAGAAAGAAGTGCATCGCTTCTAGTAACAAGTGCCTTACTAGTAGTAACAAGAAGCTATTAGAAGCAAGAAGCTACTAGGGTCTATTTACCTGGTTGACCCGGGGTCCATTTCTGGAGTGGTCGGGTCGGAGTGGTTTTTGTGTGGTTCAAACCTCTCGCTGGACTCACCCGGATGGAACTTCCATCGGTGGTCGTCGTGAAGACCAGCGTGACCGGGAGGCATTTCTGAGGTGACGACGTGTGCTCGATGAGGCACGCTGACGTTGTAAGTGGTGCGATCCCGATCCAAAGCCCAAACCTCAGTGGTCGTTTTTCGGTCGAACTCCAACGAGAAAGTCCATAGCTCAGCTACCTTCAGTGGGATGGCTGGCTGGAAGAAAGGTACATATTTGGCTTTGGACCAGCTGGAGGTGGCGTTGAAAAGAAAGCCACCGACCACTCGACCGAGTGGTAGCTGCTAAGCTGTCAGACCACTCGACAATTGGTGACGATGAGGTTTCCCACCAAATCCTGGGACGACTCAATCTGCTCGTCTTCTCCGGGTTCCCTCTCTTCGAGCTCGGCTCCCATGCTTCCAGGCGTCGCATCGCTTACGGCACTTCATCACACCACCCCCATTATGGAGATCGTTATAGGATGTGATATGGCACTTCTGCGGGCTTTTCCTTTTTGAATCAACCGTTTATAACATACATCTTACGCGCACATCCTCGGTTCATGAGAGACCTGCCGGTCCAAGTCCTCCTGAGACGCTCCGAAGTTGAGAATATCTTCGAAGGTCTCCATGATCTGAGCGCTCAAGTTGATCACGCGGGTCGCAATGCGGAGGCAGCGGTCGCAATGCAGAAACATGGAAGGTGACAAGTGGATACAATTGGATGCAATATGATCCAATGTTTCTCGGAGTTCATATCAACAATTGATTTGTCTAATTTATTTATATACTATGCTTTGTGTGTAGATGTGTGGTCTCGTATAAGGTCAAGTTTTGTCTTGGATGTTCGAGTATGACTATTGAACTCCTTGCCATGATCTGGGGGGCCTTGCAGAACTTGACACTGAGATTCTTGTAGCATCATGTAGCTAATTACAAGAATTCCAGTTGCACTCTTACAAGAAGTTATTGTAAGAAAGGCTCCATAGTTTGTTCAGCAAAGTTACCCTCCTGACACTTGTGAATGAAAAGTGCTAACAAACTGCTGTCATCTCGATCTATCCATCTTTTGACCTACTTGCCCTGGCTCGAATTCGGCCTGCTCGTTCGGCAGAAGTGAAAGCTGTGGTCGGTCAACTCCCAAATGCTCAAACAGGTCGTGCCTCAAAGCAGCACGACATCTGCAGCTGGGAGACCAAGATTGTGTGAAGAAGCACCCAATAATCTACATGTCAGAGTCAGAGGGCTCTTGAGACGCTTTTTTAGGTTTTTTCATGTCATTTCTTGAGACGCTCAGTGTTCCAAATATTCAGCCAAAGACTGTCGCAATCCGCAATGCAAAAAGTAGTGCGCCCAATTGTATGCCTGAGTGTCCAGTATCGCTGAAGAACCTGCTTTCCCGTCGGACACAAACATTGACGATCTCTTCTCTCTTAGCCCAGGGCTTTAAGCACTCCATCTAGGACGCTCGCCAAAGTCTGACCATCAGGTGGATTCACGGACACGGGATAAACAAAAACTGCACTTCAGCACGACCACTGTGTTCATCGACCACAGAGCGAACTGGGTTGAGTTTCTTCTCCCCCTAGACTCAAAGCTCAGAAGCTCAGAAGCTCACCTGATGCCATGCCTCACTACCTTCAGGCCCACACTCCTGCATTCATTCCACTGTTGCTCGCAAAGGACGGGGGAAAGGAAGCAAATCTTGTTCCGTCCTCCTCTGGGATGGCGGTGGTAAAAGCAGGAAGAGTTTCTGCCGGCTGCAGCACTCGGAAAACCACTTCGATGGGATCTCCGAACACCTCATGCGGAAGGAAAAACCGCAACACAGGTTGCTTTTTGAAGGAGCGCAGGGACTAGAATGTCTTTGTTTTGCTTACATTTGCTTTCTGACTATAGATATATATATATAACAGTACAGTATATACCAGCCCTGTAGGATCTGAAGTATCTTTCCATATCTTTCTCCAAATTGATATGCATTTTAAAGTCCTGGAAAGCACTCTGCAGGATATCCTGCACTCTGTGGACAATTCCTTATTTGTTCAGAAGTTTGTCCTCCGGGTGAAAATTCAGTCAAAATTCTGACAAATTAATTATGTTCTTTTGTTGTTTCTATTCCTGTGTGTATCTGTTTGTGTTCTTTTCGGGGTAAGTACCCTGTTTTATGGAGGGGCCCAGGAACCTTGATCTATTGGTTTGTGAAAGTCAAAAGTCTTGTACACTGATGTAATCTGACGTACACTGTATAACTTGTTGTCATGTAACAAGATTGATTGACTATTTCCTTTTGATTAGCTTTCCCTTCTGAATCTTGATTTGTTTCCTCAAGTAACATTTGGCTCCTCTTGTGGGTCTTCACCTTTCCCCAGGCTAGATGAATTGCTTCAGGCTCATTTAGCTGTTCCTGTTGTCAATAGCACCAATCACTATCCTTGACATCCTCGTCCTCGACCTCGACCCAACTTTTCTCCTTTGCTTAATTACTGCTACCTTCTGCTTATTTAGTTCCACTATTGGTTTGCCTCTCTTTTTCTCTTATTAGCACCTTCCTTTGTCAAATTGGCTTGTTCTTTTTCTCTGCTTCTTTCTATATTTCTCTACTTTTTGACCTCGCCTTCGTTCATTTCTTAGCAGATTGAAAAATTAGATTCTGGGAAGCAATGCATACAAACGGACTACAATAGGAGCTAGACCAGATTCAAAAGGGTTGATTGGCCGCTATCAGTGCAATATACGCCATGACGTATAGCTCTTTAATTTTCAGTTGCCCTTCTGCTTAAACAGCGGCTCTTAAAAAAATGGTTGATTGGTCGCTACCATTGCAATATATGTCATAACCTATTGCTCTTGAAAATTAGCTACCCTTTTGCTTGATCAGTGGTTGTCAAAGGCAAAAGGGTTGATTGGCCACTACTAGTCATCACATATTGCTCTTCAATTCTAAATGCCCTTTTGCTTTAGTCAGCGTCTTGGATAGGTTGATCAAAGTTGTGATCCCTACGATGGAGCAACCTGTTATGAACAAAACCATGATCTTCTTTAACGGGTCCTCCCCGTGCTCATAAATATGCGTTCGTACGGTCAGTCAGTCTTTGAAGAATGAGCATGGTTAAAAGGATAATAGCTTCGTATTATGCAAGTCTGCATAAGGAGGGATGCGAAGTGATAGTACTCCTAGATTCTTTTTGAACAAGAAAACACCGTTGAATTAGAGGCATGAAAATTCCAATTGTTAGCAAGAAGAAACAAATCCATTATGAAGGAAGGACAGGAAGGATGTGCTTCAAAAGACCGATGCTCAAACTTGTTTTTTGATGGTTTTGCCTTATCTATATAGATGGATTTTACATGATTTTACAAAAGGAACATGTCAAATGATCGAATGCGACATTCTCAGAAGTGCCTCCCAAGTTCAAAACTGCCGAATCGGCCCCCTCTTTTCGATAAACACAGAACTCCCCCAGTGACCCCCAGCCTTTATAATACTCCCTTTTTCAAGGCCTCGTATCGTCCACCTCGATCCTTAAAAACCACCTCGTCTAAGCCGCAAGGAGAGAACCGAACGCGCGCGCCTCACGAGCAAAGATGCGGACGGCGCATCCGCCGGCGTCGAAGCAAACGATACCCACCTGAGAGGTGATGGATCTGCGGTTCGGTTGCACCTACATGCGGTTCGTGACCACTGTGGTTCAGTCTGCAAATTTGAGGGATTACATGCTGCCCAAATCTGCCCGATGTATCACCACTTCAAAAGGGCATTCCGGCATTCCATGGTGCAAGATGGTGCCAAGAGGGTGCGCCTCTTCTATCATGTCGTAGCCAATGACTATGCAGCTTCCGCCTCTGATCCTTCCAAAGTGAAACGACTTGCAGCACACAAAGCACCAGGTGCGAGACACAACACAACACCTCTCTCAGATGAGGGCTGAGTGAGACACACAACTAAAAGCACCAGGTCCTGTCTCTCTCAGCCCTCTCCTTGACCGTCTGCTAGGCTTTGTATGCGTTGAAATTGCGTCGCTGGTGCTTGAAGATGGCGATGAATGCCACCACCTAGCAAGGCGGTGCAACCAGCCTAATTAGAGACCGTAGAGACCTCAGGACTTCATAAGGTCGAAAAGAAAAAAAGAACGATTAAGAAGAGATGGCATGGGTGTATTAGACATAGGGACAACCTCAGTGTTCAAATGAGTCTTGTGGTCTACTTACTTCGTTTGCCAGTTCTTTCGGGGGTCTCCTTTTTCGAAGGAGACATGTGAAACATGTGCCGTCATGCCATCATGTACCATCGTACCTCTGACTCTGATCCATATACATCATATATCATCATATACATGCGCATGTATCGCCGGTCGACCATGGTCTGGGACACCCCACAAAAACAACTCGGTGAGGACAAGCACCTGCAGCAGCTGGCTGCTTCTCGCGGGCCGCTGTCCCGATGTCTCCCTATGTGTCCCGATCTCCCTGTCCACGAATACAACACCCGGGAAGAGAACCACATGGAACCTGAAAATGGACCTGACTTGACTGGAAGACGATTTTCCTCTACAACCCCCTAATTTTCAGGTTTCATGTGGGTCTCCTCCAAGAATATTCATGAGAGGCCGCTGGGGGCGTCACACCAACTTGCGAGGGATCAGGTGTCCCAGGATCATAGGTGCGAATATCCTCGTCGACGAGATGGAAGAACAAACAGGACTTTGCATAGGCGGCATAGAAATCAAAAGCATACAAACAGTAAAAACACACACACATTGCTGTCAGGAAAGCAAGGCCTCTACACCACACCTCTTCCTGAAGCTATGCCCTTACCCGGCCAATATGCAGCAGGCATTCATCTATGCAGGTCCTCTACCTCTTCAAAACGAATGATTTGTTGACCTTAATCAATTCCGTGGCATGGAAAGGTCAGAAGGAAAAACATGTGAACCAATTGAACCAATGAATCAGATTGAATCAGCCATGAAAGGATCAAACTCCAGATTGCTCCCGGGGTTGGGTCGAGCTGAGGAAGGAGCCCCCTTCCTTTATGAGATCTTCCCAAAGCCTTCCTCGATCTGGTCCTCAAAGCAGTCAGCAATCAGCAGTGTTGGGATCAGAAATCAGCCCATCTATTGTGGACCAGTTCTACTTGTGGATTTCAAATCACAGTAAACGGGCAAAACAAAATGTTGCCACCCCTTAAGAATCCGTAGATCCTAGGACCTAGGAATAATCAGCTTCTCTCATGGCTCTGGAAATCTATCCCAAATCCAGGGAGCTGGCTACTGTAGTTCTCAGCATAGACCTGCAACATTTGGCACAGTTCTCACATGCACACTCATGTCTTTTTGTGTCGCATCACAGCCAGCCGCGTCACATGGTTCTCGGCACGTTTTCATCTGAGCACAGCCGATATGCACTGCATCCTATGACTGAGATACTGGCTCTGTGGTCCAGGGGCTGTTCAGGCTGTAAAGGAGTGATTTGCGCACGCAAACAGCAGCATCCTGCACGTCACGTTCGCCCTCCGAATGCGGGTGCTGTTTTCTGTGCTACAAATACGAAATAATACGAATGCAAAAAATAATGCGGAAAGGGTCATCGACATTGACCGATTGCCATTGCACATGAAACAACCATGAAACAGCCGCGCCCATTGTGGTGATGCGGTGATACCAGGCCCTGAGAAACATGGGATCAAGAAAAGCAAACACACAAACACACATACACACACAAAAAAAACAACTTCCCTATGCCAGCATAAGGCACATGGCTGGCTTTAAAACCTATGAGAGAAATCTGCATGGTTTGTTCGTTCCTGGTTCTTCAAGGTGATCCTTTGAGGTCCAAGATTAAGCCTTTAAAGGGTAAATAGGGACCTTCATTGGAGGCCATTGCTAGTAGGCTGGAGGCCATCGCTAGTAGGCTGGAGGCCATCGCTAG